GCTTAAAGAAATGCCTTTTGCAAACGAAGAAACTCTTAATAATACCATTGAAGAATGTAGGCTTCGACTTCACCAATTAATAAATGTGCAACCACCAACATCGAATGTGCAACCACCAACATCAAATGAAAACACTACTTCTCCTAGTACAAAAAATCTCTCTCCTAATAATATGTTTAAGGAACTTATATTTGGTAGTGCTCAAAGATTGCAAGAATTACAGATGAATTGGATTTTTACCTTGACCTTAGACGGACACCAGTAGCCTTTCCTGATATAGACCCTCTCTTATGGTGGCGACAGCACCAAGTTCAATTTCCATTCCTCTCAAAATTAGCCAAAAAATATCTTGGTGTCCCCGCTACTTCTGCACCCAGTGAGTGCATTTTTTCCGATGCTGGAAACCACATTACTCCTCGATGTTCCAATCTAAAACCCAAATTAGTCTCTCGAATATTATTCCTAAAAAGAAATGATAAATTTATTAATATGTTTCCTAACTCTCATATATATGAGAAAAAAATATAAAGTAAAATGTTAGCTTTTAGACTTTAAGTAAATTTGTACTTATCATTTTTAAAGTCGCTTTTCTGGATCTGCATCCCAACACTTCTTTAAAAGGTTTTCATAACACGATGCTGTATCTAACGCTATTTAAAATTAGAGAATAAAATTTAATGTATGTTCTTTTATATTGGCCTTCAATTTAAAATTTAAAATCAAAAATTTATGTAAGGAACTTTTAAAATAAAGATATAAAGGTTCACAAATCTTGGGCGGAAATTTTTAGTAAGATTAAGCCCAGTGAATCTTTTAAATCGAATGTCACTTATAAAGATTTCACAAATCTTGGGTGGAAATTTTTAGAAGAATAAACCCAGTGAATTTTTTAAATCGACTTTACTTATCTTCACTAGCCTAACTGCGAATATTACACACCTTGGTATAGCTTCCGATTAGTTATAATAAAGGCCTCCAAGATAAGTATACATCAAGTAAAGAGGCTCAAAGGTGTATCGAAGAATAAAAATTCTA